AAAATCTTATCTACCATGATGCTTCTACTCTGACAAGAACAAGCAGTAGCTGATCAAGACTTTGCAGTCCCTCCAGCCCAAAAGTGTAGTATGAGATGAAAGGTCTAACAGCCTGAAACAAATGTAATCGGAAGGGAAAGACCAATTTCAAAGAAACAATTGGAAAACGGGAAAGGATGCGACCTTAATATGGTTGTTCCTTGTTCCCATATGTAACATATGGGATAAGGGGAGGTAAGATAGTAGGCTGTCCTCAACACTAGGTTGAGGACAGCTTCCGTAAGAGACTCCGAATTATGAAATGCCCTCCATGAGACTCGATCCTACGACCTCAAAGTTAAGAACCTTGTGCTCTACCAACTGAGCTGGATGCGACCTTAATATACTACTAAAAAAAAGTTACCAATTTTGTTATTATTTAAATAACAAAACTGGTAAAAAAATTATCAAAAACATTATTATTTCTACCGATTTTGTTATTATTAAGCGTTTTACCACTTTTTTTGTTATTTTTTCTATCGATTTTATTATTATTGGGTACTTTACCGAAAATGTTAAAAAACATTGACGTTTTAAGTAAAAATAATAATATTTTAGATAAATTTTTACCAGTTTTGATATTATGTTTTAGCTATATATATATTAAGGGTGTCGCATGTAGAACTTCCCTTGAAAAACACATGGAAATGTAAAAACAAAAAAAAAATCCTATTTTATATCACATGTGTACAACATTTAGTTATTCACAAGAGTCTTAGAGTCGGTTTGATTTTAAAAAATATTTTCTATTTTTATTTTTTAAAAATAGTTTTCATTTTTAATTTTTTGAAAATTAAAAAATATGTTTGGTTAATATAAACGAAAACTTGAATTCAAAACTAAAACAGTACAACTGTGTGTGGTATCTATTTTTTTTTTAAAAATAGAAATAAACAAATAAATATCAAATAATTAAATTAAACTATAATTATTAAAAAGGTCATTACATAAATTTAAGTTATGTAAAATATAAAACAATAAAATTGATAATAAATTTCATAACATAATATTTATTTTAGTTTATAATAAGAATATAATGTTAATATATATTAGATATCAATTAAATTTAAAAAAATAGACAAAAAATATTGTTATAAGCAATAGTACACAAAAGTGTTATTAACATAAAAAATATGTTTAGTGGTAATTGATACCTTCAAACTTTTGAGAAAAAATAATTAGTCTAGTCCCTGAACGTTTGTTTATATCAAATATGATCTTTAAACTTAGAAAAAAATAATCTAACCCTTTAAATAACGGAATCAAATGTTACAGTTCACAAATTTACATAACAATATATAATATTAATGTGATAGTTCACGATATTATTGTGGTAGTACTCGATGGACAATGATGTGGTAGATGAACTTTATTGATTATTTTAGAAAGTTTGAGGACTTATTTAATTTTTAAAAAAAATAAAAAAATATTTAGATTAAAAATATAACAATTATTAAGATATTCAGTACATTAAATATAAAAATACTAAAAATTAAATTATTAAAAAATTAATTTAAGGACTATATTGAGTGTAAAAAAAGTTAAGGGATCATATTGATTTTTTTACAAAAGTTTGAGGGTTGCAAATATCATTAAATCAAAAAATTATTTGTTAGAATGATTTAAACTTGGTGTAAGTTAAAATTCTAGATATCATATTTACTTATTTTTCAACTTTTCAAAACAATTTTAATGAAAACAGTGAAAGCATCTTTTTTATGTTTTCATCTTTTCACTAATTTTTGTTTTCATTTTCTAGAAATCATTTTTCAATTTTACAACGAACACGTTTTCTTCAACGTTTTCTATTTTCTAAAAAAATGAAAATAACATATATTTTCTAAAATCAAGCGGATCCTTAACTTTTGAGGACCACGGCATCTAAAATGGAAGCTCTAAGGGCAGGATAACTAACTACCTGAGAAGCAGCAAGCCATTGAATCATGGCCTTCAGTTCAGGATCTCCTCCGAATGCTCCACGGCCCCAATTTCCAGTTGCTATCCCAATATTATTATCCGGGTCCTTTAATTGAACACATTTCTCATCAGACTTTCCAAGGTCATCTGTCCAAGTTCCCCCATAGTGTTGATCAAATTACGCCCCAGATATGTCACCATCATATTTATAATCTTGATCAAGCTGACCTGCACTGAGTTCATGACCTTGAACAGTCTCTTGCACTGGATATACTTTGATTGATCCAAAAAGCCACAAAAAACCTTATTAGTCTCCCTACCAAACACACAAATTGAAGTGATACAGCTTAGTCCGTATGAATTAAATTGGAAACAAAATACACATATAAAGTCTAATCAATATGCTTATAGAAACAAATCTCTTATGTTTCACATTATCTATCATGAAAACCTTTATCCAGCACATTGCATGCATACATGTAAATCCATTGATGTGATTGACATAAAATAGACATTCTTCGTTCACAAAAGTTGCTTATTAAGATATCCAATATGTTCTTCGCTGATACGATCAAGGAAGTTCTTGACACTTTCTATGCTGATACGATCAAGGAAGTTCTTCAGGCAATCCCCAATTATGTTATGCAATCAACAAGGCTTCCTAAAGGGTTGTGCGATGAAATGGAAAAATCATTCGACAATTTGTTTGGGGCTCTAATAATGGAAGTGGGGGTATACCGCTTGTGCGCTAGGACATTATGCAAAAACCTATTGATGTCGGACTTTTTTATGGCTAGCAGCTCACAATCACCTACTCACAAATGTGGAAAGGACCAGGCGCCATAAGTCTACCATGGATGGACGTCAAATAAGGCCAGGAAAATGTTGACCATGTTCTGCGTCGTTGTTATATGGCCGAGACTGTGTGGAAAAGAGTGGTGCGAGCAGATGATTTGCAAGAGTTTTATTCCTTGCCATTTGAAGATTGGTTTATGAAGAATCTTAATTCAAATTTCTCAGGTAGGAGTTCTTGTGACAACATTGATTGGGCAATTATGTCTTCTACAATTTGCTGCCTGTTATGGAAGACTAGGTGTAGCCTACTGTTTGATCCTGATTTTGTTTTACGCTGCTTAAGGTTGGCTCAAGATTTTGCATCTGTGTCTACACTTGCGGTTGATTTGGATAATAGTTCGCCTGTTAATCATTTGGAGTGGCGACGACCCGGTAGTGGTTGGATAAAAGCGAACTAGGATGGCACAGTGCGACAGAATGATAGCATGGCATCGGCTGGTGGGCTTTTACGTAATTCGGAAGGTGACTGGATTTTCGGATTCACTCGGAGCCTAGGGAAATGCTCGGTTCTGATGGAGGCTATTCACGATATCTTGAATCATGCTTGGAGATTAGGATTTCGGCACTTCGAGATGGAGACCGATAATCTTGAGACTTCCAAGATTTGCAATAAATCATCAAAAGCATTATCGAATAACTCCCTGGTGTCTGCTATTTCCGAACTCTGGGATCGCGATTGGACGATAAAGGTTCGGCATATCCGTCGAGAACAAAACGGCGCGGTTGATAAATTGGCTGCCTTAAGTCGAGGAAACTCCATTGGTGAACTTGTATACTTAGAACCCCCATATGAGCTTTTGTCTATCCTTCAGGAGGATAATGCTGCATCGAGGGAATGTTAGTAACTTCTTGTATTAGCAACCAAAAAAAAAATTATTAATGATGGTAAATTACAAGTTTAATATTTAAACTATCAATTTTGATTTGTTTTAATACCTAACTTTTATTTTTTTTAAATCATATTTAAAGTTTAATTTTTGTTTCATTTAAATAGCATGTTCAAAATTTAACGTAAATTTTTCTTTTGAAGATTTAGTTATTAAAACGAACTAAAATTGATAGTTTAGATACTAAATGTGTTAATCTTTTAATGACGGATACTAAAATGAAACAAAAACTAAATATTAAATATGATTTTAAAAAATTAAAAATTTAAGCGCTAAAACAAACTAAAACCGATAGTTTACATACAAAATACCCTACCAGTTAATTCAGTATAAGAATCAAAACACATTTTCAATTAGATAAATGATTCTAGTTCGATATAAATAATTAATTTGCAGTATGAGAAGTGATTTTCCAATCAAATAAATGAAACTAATAAAACGTGTTTGAATTTATCTTCACGAGTTTCGAGTTGAGAGCTACGATTGATGGGTTCTTGGGTTCTTCCGAGTAGAGGTGCACAAAAAATTCGAATATTTAATTTTGCGCAAAAAAATATCCAAAATCGGATTTGGGAAAAACCGATTTTTTTTAAACCAGATCGAATATTTTAAAACCGGATAGTATAACCGGTTTAGGAAAAAATCCGGTCTGGGGTTTAAAAAATTGGATGATCCGAACCGGTTTTTTTCAAACCGAAACCGATTACATCGGTTACATCATCCGACCCTCCAAACCGGTTATGATCCGAACCGGTTTTTTTATAAACCGATTTTTTGGCTTAGTGAAAAAACCGGATCGGTTTTTATCCGATCCGGATCGGATTTAAATCCGGCTATGTGCATCACTACTTCCTAGTATAATTTGTCTTGTTTTATGTTTTTCCAATTTTTTCCCCAAAATCTAATAACTGATAAAAAGGAATAAAATTTCATAACTGTAAATGCATAAACATTTAAAAATAAATATTTCAATTATATTTCTTATTTGATTCAAGTATTTAAAATCTTTGCATTTATGTTGTTACTATTACTTTGGTAAAAATGCATAATATTTATTTTGTTTTCAAAGAAAAAAACTTTAGACGCCTAGAGTAAACAATAGGTACATTTTGAGCAAACTTATCTTTTTAATTAAACCTTAAAAATAACATACTCATATTAAACACATATATCAGACACTCGAATCCGAATTCGAATAATATGTAACCGTAAATGAATGTCATGTTTATCAAAGAGATTAGTGTCCAATATACATACATAAAGACTATATTTCTTTGTTCACTTGATTTAAACATGGTTTTCCCTATGTTGTTCAAACACATATAATTAGACAGAAAATGGACAACCAACTACAAATTATACATCGATGCCTTACAAATCAAGTGTCCAAAGTTCATCGCTGTACCTGTTCCGAAGTGTTAGTGGTAGATGATGTTGCTGTCCTTCCATTCTCCGTTCCATTATCGACAGGTACATGCAGTCCCCACTTCCTCTCCGCTTCCAAGGGTTCTATAACTTTAACAGCACCATTCGTCAATCCTATAGCTATCTGATTGGCTTCCTGCGGGTGTGCCGCGACTATGAGTGGGTGCACGGTTTGGCTGTCATAGTAGAACACCGAAATCAGATGTAAGATCTCACGTGCATGTTTCATGAAAAGCTTTCTTAAAGCAAGTCAGAATTAACATTTAAACCGACTCCTTCAACCAAAACCAATCTGACCAAGCCAAATTAACCAAATATTGAGCAATTTGGTTAACTCGGCTTAACCAAGTTCTGCACAGCCCTACGCATCACAGTCGATAAAACTCTCTATCAATAGAAAAAAAAAATGAATAAACCTGAAGCACATGACATTGATATAAAAGCTGTAACCTGTTCGATGATGCAGGAGGGATATACGCAGATGGTGCAATACGACATCTGAGACTTAAATTATCAGCATCAAATACTCCAATGTTACCATCAGTAAAAGTAGCAAATACTAGCTGGCTATTGCAGGAATACACTGCACACGATATAGATGAAGAAAGTACTTCTTGTGGCATCCACTGCAACATAAAATACAATGGTAAAAATTTGTCCGCTACGATGTAAAGGAGCGGTAGAAATTCATTACATAAGGTGTTATAGTGTTTTACCTGTCGAATGCATTCCATCTTGCTAGCATCATATATTGCAAGTTGTGTTTCATGGCACACTAACAACCGAACTTGGTCAGAGTGAAATTGAACTCGAGTATCACCCTGAGGAGCCTTTCCAGCAGGCAGTGGAAGTGTAACTGATTTTATCTTTTCCCAGTTATCAGTGTTCCAAAAGAAAAGCTGCAAAAAGAAAGGAATAGAATCAGCAGTAGAACAACAATAAAAACCAATAGCCGTTGAATATGACTATGGCATAATGTGAGAAACTAGTTTCTTTTCAGTCGACTGAAATCAATTCTTTTTGTTTCTTGCTATGTTACTCCAACTATTCATCGTCCACTTAAGTATCCATGTCCAACAACTGTATCCTATACATAATCCAGACAGGTATGGAGGTAGTATTCTCCATTTGAATGCAAAAATTTCATAAAAATTGACTATACCCATACTGAACACAACTATAACCATAACCGAACACTCACCCCTCACTCCTGAGCTCTAGTATCAAAATAAACAAATGCAGAAAGAAGTATCATCCGAACTCTTTTCAACGTTAACCACGTTTTTTTATTAATAATGGAAGGTAGAACCACACAAACCAGACAGGTTTGATGATGAAGCATACCTGAGCATCAGCACCAGAAGAAACCAGGATGTTAAGGCTGGTGGAAAATGCTAAACCGCTGATGCGTTTTAGGTGACCCTTTAATTTTGTTTTGACCTAAAATTAAAAATGCACCTCTTTTTGTGTTAAATATCCAAAGGTAATTATATCGATGGAAGATACAAAGATATACTTAAAATAATCTACCTCATCCACCCTGACATTGTAAATATGGATGGCGGAGTCATCCATTCCGATTGCTATGATATTATTATCTTGTGGATGAAATGCCAAGAATGTTGAAGCTGGAGGAGGTGCCATAAAAGTTGTCATTACCTGCAAACCAATGCAACTTCATATCAAATAAAAGATCATTGAAGACAGAAATAAGGTTGACAAGAAACTCCATACTAGCTCCAGTAATTTAAAACCCAAATAAGACCGATTAATTCAACCTATTGGATTGAAAGTTCAATGACAGATTGAACCTGGAAACTAGCAAAACACGAGCTTTCGGAAAGAAAATTAGAACCAGGAAATCAAAAAAATGGACAAAGGTTTAATTTAAAAAACTGGCCTTCTCATTATATTTGTGCTTGGATTTTTGTGAATATACTTTTTTTCTTAATTTGTTTTGATTTTTTAATATTCTTCTTATTTTATATTAAAAGAAATTAACTACTATTAATTTCTTTTCTTCTTTATATTTTTTAATGAGATTGAACCGTGAATCGGAGAGCCGACCAGTTCAACCAACGTTCAGGTTCTTAATCCTGAGCTAGCTAAAAATTTGCAGACAAAGCAGAAGATATTCAAAAAAAAGACATTAAGGTACCCTGAATGTCATCATATTAAACAGTGAGACCTTTCCACCACATGCAGACATTACGTAGGAGTCATTCTTTGACAGTGCTACGCATGGAACTGCATCTTCAGAATTTTCGGGGACATCATTAGTCATAAGAAGTCCACTGTTAGGTTGCCAAAGTTGTGGAGCAATACTAGCAGTAGCCTATAAAACCAAAAAAAGATAAAAGAAAAAAGTTTATGCATGGAAACTTTTCTACCAATATCATACATAAAAAGAGGCATATGGACTATGTAAATTTGCATGTACATTTCGATGTATAATATATTTCGAAAATTGTAGTGCATCTTTGTGCAATGTTGTGTGGGGCCAACGAGTTTGGCGTTCTTGTAATCTTATCGTACTTGTTTCTTATGCAATAAAATTTTTATGGCACTCTTTTCCTCCTTCCAATTTTCGTTAAGTCCTTGTTGTTTGACGGATATGAAGGGTGTTTTTAATGAGGCCTTCCTTATTATCAAAAAAAAATAATATATCAATGCCTCCATAGAATAAATCACCTTGGCAGTAGGATTTTGTTCACTGCGACTCCATTTCCATAGCTTTTGGACCCCATTTGTTCCAAGAGCAAGAACCCCAACACCAGAATTTGTGTAAAGAAGTCTAGCAACCTTGATATACAGGAAATTAAATAATGATAGAAAAGGATAAAATGAACAAGACATTTCTAAAAAATAAAGTTAAAAAATTGAGAGAAATAAAAAAAATTGAAGTAAAACCTTGCTTGCAGATTCCAAGTTGTCTGGCATGGTGACAGTTCGACAATGTGTGGGGTCAACAATCTCAGTTAGTTCCCAGGGCTTGGTTTTATCAGGCACATGTTCCAAATTCCTTGGCTTTTCGATGCCTCTAGTTATCAGTTCAACTCCATTCTACACGATATTTTAACTCGACTTAGATGCCAGTTAGAAAAACTAGTAAATAACATCAGTGACAAGCAAACTGAACTCCGTTGAGCAATAGGTCTATGAAACCTCTCAACTTTGTTTTAATAATCTTCTATGTTATTTAATATGGGCAGAGCAAATGACATTCTCTAACCAAACCATAAATATCAACAGAGGGTAAGGCTTAGTGTATAGCAGCATACAAGACTAGGAGTAGGTCTGGCAGGGCTGTCTACACGTTCTACTTTGCTAACAACTGGACTGAGACCTGTACCCATGGCGGAACTAGATACCTGATCCATTATCAAACAAGAACATAAGTTGTCAATAACAGTTCATAACTTCACAAAATAAATAAATTAGCATTGTGATGGAATTGTGATGAAGACATATAACCTTCATCTCAAGTGGTGTTCTAGATGCTTCATAAGATCGAGCCTCCATTAACCTTAATGCCCTAAGACCATTGGAATTTGCAAGAACCTTGAATCCATTGTCTGCTGTAGTAGCAACAAGCAAATTTCCTTCCTTGTTGAATCTCAATCGGGGAATACTCTACCATCACAATATCAAGTAAATAACCAAACTGAAATCACATTATAAGTTCTTAATCAATAAAAGATGTAAAAATAGGGAAGGTCAAATGAAAAATGAGATGCTGACCGGTAGCCCTCCTTCAGCTTCAGTGCTGGTGAGAATATTTGTATTATCCATATGCCAAAACTTAATCTGGCTATCATCACCAACGGCCAAAAAGCGATTCCTTGTGGTGTCAAACTGTACCACACCATTAGCATTCTTTCTAAAACCAGAATATTTCCTCTTTATTTTCCCTTCACTTTCATTCCATTCAACCAAGAATGAATCCCCATCCTTACTTGTGCCACAAGAGAATAGTCTGCAGACAGAGGATTGTTAATTTCTTACCATTCATATACGGCTTAGGAGATCTGTAGCTTCAGGAAAGATCTAAGACCAACATTTTGGATTCTACTTTTTGAATTTTCGTCCACATACCTATTACCATCAGCACTGTAGAGCATCGTGGTACACCACTGTCCAGGAGCATCATAGTCAACCCTAGAACCCATATTGTCATACAACCAAGCCTTGATTTTTCCATCTACAGCAGTTGAGAATATAAACTACAACAACATGACAGAAACTTAATTCAAAATCAATTCATAATTGGAGAAATAAATTATTGTCTACCCTATAACTCATTTATCAAGCTCAGACGTTATAAAAGCCGATCAACCAAATGTGAAACAGATTAAATATCGTGACAAATATAACAGATGCAAAATGTTTTTCCTATACTTCTAGATAGGTTATGACAAAACATGCAAAGAACCATTGCCTTCTAAAGAACCAGTGCCTTCTAATCTTATCTAGAGAAGAAACTCCTGCATTCAACATCTATTATACACAAATTTCACCAAAACTAGGATGGCAGTATGGCACAGATTTAGTAGTTGTACATGTTACTCATGTGATGTCACAGATCTAGAAGTTGCATATTACTGACAAAAAAGCTGCTGCTCTATGTTCTTATCACAGATCACAGTATACTAAATTAGCATCACAAGGTTTCTTGACCAACAAATAATAGCCAATTGGACCGCATGCAAAGTAGTTCTATATCCAAATATCGGCTTGTCCACAAAAAATACTTTCCCTTAAAACATGAATCATCTTCAGATTATAGAAAGGAAAAAAAGAATACCTGAATATTTTCTTTCTGGTGAGGGCAAACAGAATAAACAGGTGCCTCATGACCGTCAAAGTTAAAAAGCTCAGTTCCAGCCAAATCCCACACCTATAAACATTACTGGAATTGAGAACACATGAAGTTCAAAGAAAAAAAATACTAAACAGTCCATTTATTCACTTTCTGACCTTTATTAACTTATCATCTCCACAAGTGACAACACAGAGCTTTTTGTTTGGATGAGAGAAAGCTAAGTCGTTTACACCACCCACATGGGCATCAATCTACACATGTATGATGGAAATTATCAGATTTTGTGTAAGAATAATGCCTTTTTAAGCAATGAATAAGAAAATGAATCAGAACATGCCTCTAGATGTTGCCGTAGATCATGCGACCCTTGATACGCATGCAAATGTACAAGGTGTTTCGTGAATGCAACACCTGCAACATGGAAAGTTCAATGTAGAAGCCCAAAATAGGGCATACTATAGGAAAATCACTCTTACAGCACATACCGATCAAATTTCCATCTGGGCTCCAAGCAACACGGCTGACAGACATGGATGAATCTTTGACAATACTAGCCTGCAAGAGACTCAATTATAGTTCTATCAGATGTATTTTGCCAAATTCCAGCAGTACAGAAGACAAAGTATAAACATTTTAAATATGATAGGAATACATGTGAAGGGAAAAAATAACTCAGTGGGTAGAATCAGCAGAACATTGTTTTTACTCGATATATAGTTTTGATAGAGAAGAGAAATATTTTAAAAAAGGAAATAGACAAAATCATCAGTAACAGAAACAATTTTGAATATTAAAACTACAATTACTGAAATAATATGCAAATAAGTGTATCAGTAATGCTACAATTTTCAGGAATAATATATCAATTTTTTCAGTTAAGAGTATTGACCTGAAATATAACAGAACAAGCAGCCAGATCCCATATCTTGAATGGTTTTGACACCAACTTCTCTCGTGTGCCAACTTCCCATAATGAAATTTCACCATTGCTACAACCAACTATTTAGAAAGTGCATAAAGAAAGATAAGAAAACACAATCCATGCAAAAAAAACTGAAGTATCGAATTCGATCTAGAATCAACAAGACAAAGATGGTCTGTACAGATGTCATTGATTTTACCAGTAAGTAATGTATGATGAGAAGGATGGAAATCCATGCTTGTCACATTGGATCCCTGGTGAATGGTACAAGCAACGAGTCTGGGTAGGTCATCAAGTGACCATGAAGCTTGTTGAGAAGGAGCAGGATACGTAACCTGGACAGATTAATAAGAAACTCCATATTGATGATCATATACTACAGAATAGTTGCAACACATGTAGGAAGTATACAGTAAAAGAACTGCTATGAAGAATATGAGATCTTAAAGATCTACCTCATCAACAGATTGCCCAGACCGCAACCGTTTCATTAGTCGCTCGTGTTCAGAGCTTCCATATTCGGTCATTCCAAGTGCATCCGGTGTTCTCGGATGTTTCAAAACTGAAGCTGCAGTAACAATTAAAATCAAAGCAGATTAGTAATGCTCAACTGGTGGTGTTCTTGGATATATTATTTTAACAGCTGACAACACCATATCAAGATTTAAGACTAGCAAACTGTACTTAGAGCAAGTTTAAGTAGTATATACGAGCCTCTTCTTAAGAGGCAATTATGAGGGAGGTTTTTAATGAGACCTCCTATTCCTATCAAAAAAAAAGTAGTATATACGAGAGAGCATAAGACACAAAGGATAGATGTAATCTGATATAAGTCACTGAAAATCCAATTATCTGAGGAAAAATATATAACCAGAAAAGTATCCCTCCTTAAAGACGATTACTTGGATGTTAGACTATCATTATGTATGCACCTGCCAAAATCCAACCATAATAAAAAAAATCAATTTTACCTTGATTTTGAGGAACAGGCAGTGATGAAGCAGAAGCAGCAATGACAGCAGGTTGGACTGGTGAAGAATGATTGGCATTTGCCATCCAGCCAGCTAAAGCATTAGCATTTGCAGCTGCTGCTGCTGCTGCTGGAGGAAAAGGCTGCAATACAGTAACACAAAACAAAAGCAATTTTGAAGACCAGCACAAGAAACATGCATCAAGAACATCCTTATCTCAGAAAAATGGTTCACAATAGGATCATACCCCACCATGCGCTCCCAGTGGAGCATAAGTGGAAGGCTTAGCAACTGCTGCAACTGGAAGAGTTACTGGAGTAGGTGCACGGGCCCCATTTGGAGGTGAACAACTATGATCAGTGAATAAGGTTTTGATATCAGGATTGGACCTAGGGTTCTTACACAGCTGGTGTTGCCAATTCAAACTGCAAATAAACAATGGGTTAGATACAACATCATCCATTTATCATAATTACAACTAAACAATCCATGTCACAGAAAGTTTTTTTTTTTAAAATACCTTTGATTTATCAAAGTTCGCAATCGAGAAGCTTTCAATGTTGGGAAAACAAGCTTTTCACGGAACAAAGGATTCGCTTCTATTAGTTTCTTAAGCTCGACCAGCATTATGCTCCGAGCCGATTTAGTATCACCATACTTTGATAACTGCTCGTTTTGCCTACATTTTGTCAAACCCATAAGTCTTAAATTGCATAAATTCTACATCCAATACCACCCATCCAATTTTCCGCAATATTAATTACCTAAAGTTTTCCATAGTTAAAAGCAGCGTAATTTCCTTATAAAGTTCTTCATTAAATGTCGAGAAAACCTTCAAATCTTTCACCAAAATCTCAACAGCTTTAGCTCTATCATGGCTGAAATAAAACAAAAACCAAAAACAACAGTTTTATCATGTTAACCCGAATCTAATATCATTCAAATTTATTCAGCAAAAAGAAAAGGCAAAATAAAAAATTACCGGTCCAAAGCTTCTAGATACTTCTGTTTTCTGATCTCAAAAAAAATCTTCATTGAATATCGATTATCGTCAACTTTAGTGAACCCGGAGAGGTATTTCTCAACTTCGTCCCATTCTCCGGCGAGAGCTTTCTCTTCGAAGTATTTCATGTTGAAGAAGAAGCCTGACTCCTGCTCTAACCTGCAATTTTTAACCAAACCGAGAACAAACTCCAATCAAAACGACACTAGGAACAAAAACGCAACAAATAAATAAAACGAAAACGAATTTTCAAGCTTACCTATGAACGCTCTCCTTGAATTTTTCTTCTTCGAGGAATTGAAGAATCAAAAACACTAATTCCCTGCTGAGAGACGACATTTCTTCTTATCCGATCGAGAAATCGATGATTCAAAAATTAGGGTTTTTGAATTCGAACAAAAAAGAGGGGAAGTGAGAAATCGGGGATTGAATCAAATGAGGGGGAGAAGTGGTGGTTGAAACGGAGGCGTTTGGTGGAAGTTAACGGCGGGTTTAAGGTGGAATAATCGGTTCTTACTTGGACTGATTTTCTAGGGTTTGCGGTTCAAGTTCATGCTTTGGAGTTCAACGAAGACAGTAGACAAACTAAAAATAAAAAAGGCTGCCATTTTAATTATATATAAATATAAATAGAGAGAGAGAGAGAGATAAAGTTGAATTTCTCACTTTTTTCAATGCGTTTTTTGAAGCATTACACCGACCTATCACTTGATATGTATAACTTATCATTATAATATAGATAACTTATCATCAAGTATGTGCATAACTTATCATTAGATAAGTGCGAAGAACTTAAGTTATACTTACAATGTGATATGTAGTTCACCAAATTTATTCTTTATGGTTAAATTTGATCAAAGCTAGTGTTTGTTGTTTGGAAAATATAATTTTATCATTCTACAAATGTTTTTTTATTTGACTTCAAAAGCTAAATAAAATAAATTTTATGTTATTTTTTAAACAAATGTTAATTTTATTAATTTTTAAAAATATAAAAAATCAATCCATTTAATAATAAAATGATTAAATTAAGACAATCCTTATATTAAAAGATCTGCAGGAATTCACAAAACACTGATAATATGGTAAAAGAAAATTGTAATTACAATTTTATTTTTCAATTTATTGATTCGATATAACTTGTTTAATGTTTGACTCCTATAAATTAAATTTAACATTTTTTTCTTGAGATTTGTAAGTACTTGTTTGTTTGTTTTTTTTGTATACAAAAGTTTAAGTAGGGGTGACTCCCCCAGTCCAGGGTTAAGGCATACCTAATAGGGTTGAGCAACGAAATCGAGAAAATCGAAAAACCGACACGAACCGAGTAAAATGGTTCGGTTTGGCTTTAAACGGTTCGGTTTTCGGTTCGGTTTAAAGGCTTCATTTTTTTGATTCGGTTCGGTTCGGGTTTTCCATATGGAACCCATTTGTTCCATATTGAACCGAATAGGCAATTTTTGTAAAAAAATATTATAGTTTCAAGTGATTTTTTTATTGAAAAACCGATAAACCAAACCGAACCGAAAAACCCAAACCGTTAAAAAAAACGAACCGAATCGAAAAAACCGGTTTCGGTTTTTTCGGTTTTTTAACTATTCGATTTCGGTTTAAATATTGAAAACCCATTTATTTCGGTTCGGTTCAATTTTTGGTAAAAAACCGAACCGAACCGAATACACCCCTAATACCTAAGACCCAATTGGGATTTACATAAGACTTTACAAATTACCTATCAAGAGTGATGGTGGTGGAATTCGAACTTAACTTTATAAGTTTAAACTCTTGAATCATAACCACTTGTTTATAATTACTTGTTTGTTTGATGGTGAAGGTATTTGACTAACTTTAACTTTTATACATGTTATTGGTTTTTTTAAACTCACGCCCAGAATGGATCCGATTAATGTAATATACTAACCAAGTAATTTTGGTGGTAAATGAATTATTGTTCTTTGAAGTCTCGAACACCAAAATTATTAGGGATGTCAGTATTCAATATCAAATGATTGGAAGTTATTTTTAAATAGATACTACCTTATACTTATTACAAATTAATAAAAGAAGAGAAAAGGAATCATGTTGAAACAATTTAAATATGCATGCCAATTATAATTAATGAGATGTATCTAAACTTCATATCAGTTATTATCATTTTAAGTCGAGATATTGATACATGTGAAAGGGTATCGATATCGTAAAGACCTAAATCATGTATCGATCAACTAGATTAATTGATATCAAATCTATATTCTTTTTATAGAAAACCGTTAGTTTTATTAAATATAAAATTTCAGAATTACGATGAAGATTTACAAGCATAACCGTATACGTAAACTAAATTACAATTAGGACACTTTTCTATAACCATTGACACAAAACTAGCCATCAAGATCATACAACGATTAAATAAGGAAAAGGTTAAAAAACTAACTAAAATGCTTGAATAAAATAAATATATGAACAAATCTGACTGCATTGGCAAACAAACCACAAAAGGGGATGAAGCTACTAAAAGACCACCGACAAATCGCAAATCAGAATCAAGTGACATGAGAAAACTATTGGCAAACGCATATCCAAATCAATATGAGGATCCAAAGCGGGGAAAATCGGCATAATAATAAATAAGCGTCATCTTGATCAGTCGTGGTGATGTAAAATCTAACCCTGAGAAGAAAGACAAACAAAAATAACAGTCAAACGACCGGAAACTACCAAAAGTCATAGAAAGAACGTGTCACAAAGGCAAAGATAAGTATGTCACAAATGCAATGATAAACGTGCTATAAAGACATAATTATTCTTATTAAAAAATTTAAAAAAAATAAAGAGAAAAGACAATAGACAATCGATAATCAATATTAAAATTGGTGTTATTGTCGATTAAATAAAATTAAAGAATAAAAATTGATTTAATATATAAAAATTATACAAATTATAAAAAAAAGGAAAGAAGGAGAGAGAATATCAAATCTATATTTAAAATTTAAACAATCCCGTTTAAGTTATAAGATATTTATACTATTTTGAGATTTAATATTTAAGATAATTTTTTTTTAATTTGGCGTATCAATACATCTATTATGATATCGATATCATCATACTAGATTATAAAATTCTTAGCATTTAACTTTTTATCCATCAAATCAAGTCAAAATATGCTTAAACAACTCATATTATATATATAGGGTAAATTACACGAATCATTACTGTACTTTGATTTATTTTCTATTTCACTCATTATACTTTAAAACTGATCAATTTCAGCATTGAACTTAATATAATTGACAAATTTGGTCACTTGGATGTTTTCCCCACTAACGACCTTTTCCAGAAACCCATTTCCCTTTTGATCTATCGTCTCCAGCCACCAGTGGCTTGCATCGCCGCCACAAGCAGTCCGAGTGTCACCTCCTGAGTAAAAACCAACCACCAGCTACCCAAAATCGATCGTCAAAACGTTGCAAATTGTGAGAAAGTCGCTCAACATCGCTGCTAATTTTTGCGATTTTCGGTCGATTCCATCATCGTTGCACCTCACCGCCTTCACCACTGAGTTCCTTGCCCAATTCCGATCGAAATGCAAGTGGTAATGTCCCTTCACCATCGCTCATCATCTTGCAGGTGGGCTTGAGATGGCAGTGGTGGGAGTACAAGAAACGACCGTTAGTGGGTGAAACGGTCAAGTTACCAAATTTGTCAATTATATTAAATTAAGTGACGAAATTGACCCGTTTTAAAGTACAGTAAGTGAAATAAAAAATATAGCAAAGTACAAGATGATCCGTGTAATTTACCCATATGTATATAAGAGACAATAATCAAATCCTCAAAAAAACATGGAAGAAAAATTGAACATGCCAAATAATTTAAAGGTCTTAGGAATATAATAGCACATACATTGACTCGTCAATTTACATACAATCATAGCATAGTTCACTTATACCAAAAGTCAATTTGCATACAATCATAGCATAGTTCACTTATACCAAAAATAACAAAGCATCAAGTGTAACGTTTAGTATTTTTATGAATTTTTTTTATTAATCTAGGACGATTACAAGTGATATTATCTTTTCTAAAGAGCTTCAATCGTTTGACAATAAAAGCTCAAATACCTTATGCAGTCATTGATGGTCAAACTCAAGACCTCTTTAGATAATAATCACCCCTTTAATCAATGAAGTCACTTGACTCGTATGTATGTTTCATGAGTTAATTAGTCATATTCATAACATATCTTTTATGGTTTTATTTAAACAAGTTCATACCTTTTTATTATCATCAAGCACGCTATTCAAATTGAAAAATAATATATGAAGCCATCAAATAGTCTCATTAGTTAAAAGAACTATTTTTCCTTAGTGATATTGAATTTGAGCAGCTATCTTATAATCATCACATTCTATTAAAAAATGTATCACGATACCTCAATTCAAGATAATTTGATCTGTTCAACATTAACACATTGAAAATCATGTTTATCATACTCGACAAACTTTTCAAAAACAATAATTTAACATATAGTTACACATACCAACCAAGTAGCACACCAATGGTACAACTATCCATCCCACACACCAATAATAACACTGAGTACACCTAGCCCACACAACAATAGAATAATTAACATATCACTCTACAATTAAGCGTCTAGTTTGATATTACTTTTGAAAAATAATTTAGAAAGTGTTACAAAAATTTATCTTTGAAAGTGTTCCTGTAAAGTATAGTTTGATGTTACAGTCAAATGTAATACCTGAGACACACGTGACAATTCAATCAGTTTTCATACTAATTTGAAATTTAATTACACATGCTTATTTGAATTCATTTAACTTAACACAGTTAAACATACATAGATGACAAATATGTGTTCAATTTTTAATTTTAATTACGATGACCTAATTCAAGTTTATCAAACAAACCCTATAGCATCCAAGCACCAAGTTTCTTATTTCATTTAGGGCGGGATAAGCCCCACGTCAACATTCACTTAAAATACAAATAAATAACAATTAAGCTTTTAATAGGGTGTTTATTTTTTTGTTTTAACTGAATTAACCGACTGAATTGAATTAGTTTTGTTAATTCGGTCGGCTACCGAATTAGTTCAAACAGGGAACAGTTAATATTTTTTTCAATTTTCGGTTAACGGTTAATTCGATTTGAAATCAATTAATTAACAGAATTAACCAAAATTATTAAATATTAAATATATTATATATATTAAATACATATTTTAAGCTCAAAACCATTAAGAATTAAGACCCAATTATTTTTTTAACCACACTAGACTCATTAAATTATTAATACCTAATTAAATTTTAACCTAAATTGAAAAAATACTTTTATTATATTAAAATTAATTTAATTAAAAACTTATAAAAAAGTCAGTTAATTCGATTAACCGACCGAAATAACCGAACATTATTCGGTTTGGTTAATATTTTTTTTTTAAAAAGTTCGGTTCGCTTAACAATTAAAGAAAACAAGTTTGATTAATTCGGTTAATGATAATTCGGTTCGATCGACCACCGTTTTAACCGATTGAACACACCTAGCTTTCATCATAGTTTTCACCATTGTCCGTCATGCAA